TTAGCTCTGTATCTTAAAAAAATTAATAAATCATTTTATTGGGGCTCTTACAGCTCTTATAACAATCCACACATCATTTGTATCAAGCACATTTCTACATATGTTGCCATCATCATTTCCAAAACATTTTGTTTCTACTTGAGCTCTTGGTATCAGCTCCTCTTTATTCCCTCCCTTCCCTCCCTTGTGAACCCTTGATAATTTATAAATTATTTTTATTTTCATATCTTACACTCTCTGCTGTCTTCCTTCATCTACATTTCAATGTTCGTTCCCCTGCGTGTGTGTGTGTGTGTGTGTGTGTGTGTGTATTAATCATTGCGTCGGTTCCCTTTTTCTCCCCCTTCTTCCCCCACCTGCCTTCTACCCTCATGGCATCACTACTTTCATTATTGGTCCTGAGGGGTTTATCTGTCCTGTATTCTGCATGTCAAAAGCTCTTAACTGTACCAGTGTATATGCTATGGTCTAGCCAGATTTGTAGGATAGAACTAGGTTCATGATAGTGGTGGGGGGAGGAAGCATTAAAGAACTAGAGGAATGTTGTGTGCTTCATTGATGCTATACTGTACCCTGGCTCACTCATCCTTTCCTTGTGAGTCTTCTGTGAGGTGAATAGTCAGTTGTCTACAGAAGGGCTTTGGGTCTCCTTTCTGACCCCCTGAGTTCACACTGAAATGGTTATTTGGTATGGGTCTTCTGATGCCTGATACCTAATTCCGAGGACACCTTGTGATCACATGGGTTGGTGTACATCTTCAATGTGGGCTTTGTTGCTTCTCTGCTAGATGGCCACCTGTCTAACTTTAAGCCTTTAAGAGCCCAAACGTTCTATCTTCTAATAGGCGGGCACAATAAACTTTCTTCACCACATTTGCTTAAGCACACATTTTGTCTTCAGCGATAGCGTACGGAGGGTGAGCATAACAGAATGCCAGGTTATCAGAACAAATTGTTCTTGCATTGAGGGAGGACTTGAGTAGAGGCCCAATATCTGTCTGCTACCTTAATACTTAATATATAAATATATGTACATGTTAGGCCTGTATCCCAATTGTTATATATTAATATATTTTCATATGCACATGCCTATGTTTATACCTCTGTATTTGTGTGTTGCCTCCTAGTTCTTGTCTTTATTTCCTTTTACTTTCCACATGTCCCACTATCATGTTCTACCTTTATTCAGCTTTCTGTACATTGCATCGGCTACATTGCACTTGATTGTATCCCACCAGGCATTCTATGCCCTCCTCACCATCAATTTTACATCTCTTGTTTTTCCCTTATCCCTGGGTTTTCTGGCTCACTGCTCCTTTCCCCCCACCTCCTCTAGTTTGTCCAAAAGATTCATCAGTTCCGTTGTTTTCTCCTCCACATTATTTATACTGCCTATCTTAGATAGACAGACATGAAAGAGAGAGAGAGGGAGAGAGAAAGAGAATTGCCTATGAATCATTTCAGGTCTTTCTGTTGACCCTTATGAATGTGTTCTGATTGAGTCTGATGCAGTGGCAAAATCTGGCCCTTGAGCCAGAAGTCTTTTTAAAGTATTTCCTGGGGAATATGTTCCTTTGCTCCCCTTGCTGCTCTGTTGTGCTCCCTTCCTGTAATGCCCTAGTGTGGAGGGGGTCAGCCTGGGCACAATTCCCACACAGTATCTCTGGTGGTAGCTTTGTTCTTAGCTTTTTATTATTTTCAGTAAATTGTAAATCTATATTATGGGTTTATGAGAAGAAACAACTAAAAAACTAGTTGTTGCAAAGATGCCCTAATTTAGTAACTCAAGAGAGATACATTTGAGTTTTTTGGTGGAAATATTGCTTGCCTTGACTTCTTATTCTTTTTAAAAATAATTTTACTGCCTATAATTCACATACTCTGAAATTTAATATATGACCAAGAGTTGTGCGATCATCCCACAAGCAATTACAGAACATTTTCTTCTTTCTCATACTCTTTGTTTTTAGCTCCCCATTCCACTCCAACCTCCTGTGCCATGCCCTTAGATAATTATTAATCCAGTTACTGTCTATATAGATTTACCCTTATGGCTTTCACATATAGAAAATAATATACAAAAGAACCATGAAAGATAGAAAGAATTCCACTCCTCAAATAATAATGATAAAACATAGAAGAACCTTAATCACAAAGAAAGAAAATATTAAAAACTACAACTTAATATGTGTCAAAGAAGAGAACAAATCATAATTTTGATCTACATATAACCCCCTCCCAGGGGGATGGACAACAGAAAAGTGGGTGAAGGGAGACATCGGTCAGTGAAAGACATGAAAATATATTTATAAATTACCTAGAATTCAGGAGGGAGGGAGAGTGGGGGAGGGAGAGCAACAAAAATGAGAAGAAGTTGATACCAAGGGCTTTGGTAGAAAGGAAATGTTTTCAATATGAAGATAGCAACAAATGTACAAATGTGCTTGACACTAGGGCTGGATGTAGGGATTGTGATAAGAGTTGTACGAGCCCCAATAAAATGATGTTTTTTAAAGTGATCATTTCAACCTAACTACATCTGCCATAATCAACTTTAGGATGCTCTGTGTTTGATAGCAAGGCTATTTACACCCCTGGACAATGTTCAGAGGGGATTCATCAAGGCTTATTCCTTGTGAGGACCCTACAAATGGATTTTGCACTTCCACTGTGACCCATAGCTTTCTGCAAACTGCATGTTCACAATTTAGACTTTTCCTTTAGATTTGCATCTTACTATTAGCACTCCTTGGAGCATCCTGGCTGGTGTGTGTCTTCCATGGGGACTTAGTTGGATATCTCACTTAGACGGTTACTTGTTTTAAGACAAGCCTTTAAGACCCCAGACCATATTCTTTCTGATAGCCAGGTTCAATCTGTTTTCTTCGCCACACTCATTATAGCACTTAGAGCTTTAGTGATTTCTTCTTGAGGGTGAGTATTGAGTAGGACCGTGTCAGGAGAACTAATGAATTGCTTTTAGGTAAGGGTTATGTGATTATGGACTACCCATTCTTGAGCTCTACTGATATGAGCTCATGTCTTGGGAAGGGGTCAGAGGGCTAGGAAACCTTCTCAATAGACTGTAAGTGACAGATTGCTGGCTGAACTCTGATAAGTACGATTGACCAAAAGACTCGACAATTTGTCATCTGACTGTCCATGACCAAATTTGTAAATACATTTCTGCCTTTTGAATGAATAAGCCATTTCTTCCACAGGATATTGTTATAAGATAAAGATAGTAAAAGGAAAATTATTATATGCGTATTATAATAATTGTATTTAGATCTTTCAGGAGAGTTCTGATTTTGGAATAGATGATAAGCACTAATTTAGGTGTCCAAAATACTGTCATGGCAATTCTTCATGAAGGTTATAAAAATTCATTTTTTATTATAACACCAGTGGAAACAACTTTATTAGTCAACAAAAGGATTGGTGGTAGCTGGCACAAGGATGTTGGAGTGTTTAGTAATCTTATTTCTGAATTTGAGTACTGATTCTATAAGTGGTCATTTTTATCTAGCAGTCAAATATCTTTTTTCCCCCCAATCCTCCTCCTGAAAATTCTGTTTCTTTTCTTCCCCCTGAAACACAAGACTTTATAACTAGTATAGTATATACTTGGCTAAATTACTATTTATCATAAAATTACAATCCAGATATGAGTAACTCCCTCTGAATAGTTGTCATGGACCTTCTAGAATATGTCTTTTGAGGAACATGCTGTCAATATTGATGTACATATAGCCAACTGTGGGACTCTTGGGTCATAAGAGAGACACTCAAGGGATAGTCTTCCTTAATATGTTTCACAAACTACTTCAAGCTACTTGAAAGAAAAGCTGTCCTTGCAGGAAAACTGTCCATGTGTTTCCATTTCAAGACACAGAAATTCACAATTCAATAAGATTTTAAATGATAATTAGAAAGCCTTTCATACAAGAAAATAAAATTGACATCATATTAAGTTAAAATATATAGTTAAAGTTAAAGAGTTGTGTTAGTGAGGTTGAATTCTGGGTGCTGTTTTAAGAACATCGTACTGTAGTCATAGTATTGTTCAGCAACAAATAACAATGAGAGTACGTGCTAGTATTCAGCAACATATTTAATGCTAATATATGTCTTCAAGTGAGCCATTTTCCTCTCTACTTCTTAGGAGGAGATGTTTGATTTAGGTGAATAAGAAAATAATGAAAATCCTATATTTTAAAATACTTTTACTGGTGCTTTATACATGGAAGAAAAAAATACCTTTAGGAGACTACAATGATGTAATCTGAAAAGAAAGCAACATATAGATGGATGTCATTAAGCTAGATTATTATGTCACAGAAATTGTCGGTAAATTGCTTGCTAAAGGACTCTTTTCAGGTAATGACAAAATATAAAAACAATGATTAGAAAGGAGAAAGTGTTTTATTCTTTTATTTTAAACAAACAAAACCAACAAAAGTTATACTTTTATTGACCCTTGATTTATAAATTTAAGTTAGCAAATAGAATGTAGGAATTTTTATCATGCATAAGCCATATGAAAATTATCAAAACAAAAAAGCACCTAACTGTTCCTTAACTAATACACAGTTGAAGTGTTAAAGAGGAACACAAGTTTTTTTTTTACCTACACAATCTATTTTATCAGTGTAAATGGGTCCATAAATCCCCCTAAATTTACTGCCATCGAGTTTACGTCTACTCATAAAGATTCTATAAGACAGAGTAGAACTGCCCCTTTGGGTTTCCAGGGATGTACATCATTATGGGAGCAGGAAGCTTCCTGTTTTTCCTATAAACCCACTGGTGGAACTGAACTGTTAAACCCCCAAACAGCTAGGCTTCTGAAGGATCTATAGATGTGGAAGTTAATAAAGTCATCACATCAGTCTCACTAGATACAATTTCATACTTTCAAACTTTGGATAATTAGGCCATTCTGAATATTTATTGTAAGACTATACTGACCTAATCATGGAGGAATCATGCAGTCTATCCTACCTTGGGCTAGAAAGCCCCACAACTCTCCTCAAGGCTGCTTTCATGTCCTTATTCCGGAGGCTGTAGATGAGAGGGTTGAAGAGTGGGGTCACCATAGCATAGAACAATGTTGCAACTTTCTGCATGCCAGCAGAATGTTTGAGTCCCGGGCTCACATACATGACCATCAGGGAGCCATAGAACAGTGATACCACGGCCAAATGAGATCCACATGTTGAGAAGGCTTTGCGTCTTCCAGTGGCTGAAGGTACACGAAACACAGCTACTAGGACAAGAGTATAGGATCCAAGGATGAAGAAGAAGTTACCAAAGATAACTAAGGAGCTAAGAGTATAGCACAACAATTGGATTCTTGGTGCAGAGGTACATGCCAATGCAAACAGTGGTCCTGGATCACACACAACATGGTCAATGATGTTTGGGCCACAGAAGGGCATCTGAGAGATGAGAACAATGGGGATCAGGAACCACAGAAACCCACACACCCAGCAGACAGTGACTAGTTTAGTACAGAGATACCTAGTCATGATATTAGGGTAGTGCAAGGGGCGACAGATAGCAAGGTA